TTTTTTTTTTTTGAATAAACGAAATGCTGGTGCTAAATAAAAAAACAGAAAAAAGTGTAAAACTAAAAAGCAATTGTTTGATTGAAAACGAATTTTTTTCTTTTTAGGCTTTTTTCGACGAAGTATTCGAAAACAGCACAAATATATCTGTCGCTTTAACCACAACTGTGACGTCAATAAAAGTATGTCAAATAAGAAAAAAAAAACAAACCGATATTGACTTATTTGCAGTAATAGTTTAGTGTGCTTGATTGGCTTTCGGGTAATTGATAGGCTTATACAGAGGGCAGACAAAAATTGCTGATTATCTGTGGTATCAGCAAGATCTGCTTCGCAACTTTTTACAGTCGCTTTTTTCTGAAAAATTATATTCTGTTGAGTTATTGTAAGAATAAAATTTCATGACCATTTCTAGTTTTTTTTTTTTGTGTAATTTGGTGTAAAGTACTCGATTAGTTTTTGAAGTTATTTTGTTTCCAAAAACAAAATTTGAAAAGTTTTTGAAGCATTAAAAAATCTTGTTGTAAAGTCATTTATATAATCCACGAAAAGCAATTAACAGAATAAGGAAAGGTACAGAAATTAAAGAATGCCTACAGTTAGAGCATAGCGAAAAAGTTCAGCCGTAACGGGGTTTTATTTGTAGTTTGAAGTTAAGAATAAGTTTAAAACTCTGTATCAGTGACATCATTTTGCAGATCACAGGAATTCCTGTCGATCATGCCGACTAAAAAAGTGTATTTTGGCTGGGATGCGAGCCGAAGGTATCTAGTTAGGTGTTTCTTCTTTGTCTAATCCAGAAATACTGATATGCAAAACAGTACTGAAATTTGTGCCAATTGGTCTATTGTCATTTCAGTTGTTCTATTCCAGCCATTCAAACTGAACGAGATATTATTGGTAAACGAAAAAAAAATGAAATTGATAAAGAAAGGACATTACTGCAAATCCTTCTTCGATCAGAAAATCATTGTCAACAGTTACGCGGTTCTGTCATAAAATGCACAGAACAGGTTTTATTTTACAGTTCTCTTTACTATAAATCTTTTTAAAATTTCAATTTATTGTTCTTTATTTCTAGTAACAATTTTTCTGTAGCTAAATAGGAATAGTTTAACGAGCAATAAGAAGTCATTTTCTCAACAGTTGAAAAATAAATAAAACTATGAAAACGTAGTTTATATACAGGTTTATTTTAAAAAATAAGATGAATTTCTGAAACAGAAGTCAAAAACTAATAAAAATGTGTGGCTGAATATTTGAGGGCTGTGAAGAAATTAAATGATTAATCGGTACAGTGACTGTGAAGCAAACACAGTTGCAACTGTTGTTTAGGTTACTTATGATACTGGTATGAGTAAAAGGAAGCCAATAGTGAGGTCAGATGAAGAATGTGATAACTTGGCATCACTTGATGATGTTGGTCAAAGTATTCATCAACAATTGGTCATTATGGTTGAATGGGCAAAAACCTTACCTCAGTTTAAAAATTTAAAGTTATGTGATCAGGTTAAAGCAGTTTTGTTTATTCCATGAATTTATTTCAGTCTTTTTATCTTCTGTAATTAATTTGTTTATAATATTCGTTGACATTTTCAGCAATGTTGACCAGTAGTCCTAGCAAGGGTAAAAGAGGATTTATTTGATAGTATGCTGACTTTGCTTAGTGAATTTTTTTAGGCCAGTCTTTTAAAGGCTAATGCAGCGCCATTACTTATTTTTGTAGCTGCATATCGGTCTTTGAATATGGATGGTGCAATATGTCTGGCGAACAATACCGTTGTTACAAAAAAGCATGCTGTTAACATTGGTGACGTTAAGTAAGCCAAACCGTTCCCCCATTACCTATTACTATAGTATTTTCAACGGAATCTTCTTGTAACAGCTTATGCATCTAACTTTTACTTGCTTCCTTTTTTTTTCGTTTCTGTTTAATTTGAGGAATTTTTCGACTGGGCAGATGTTTATTTAGTTTTCTGATAGATTTTTGAACACAAATGGTATGGATTTTAAGATTGAACAGTTTTTTTTAATACTCCAAAACAAATTTTTATCTGCTTGTACAATACTGGGAAAGACTGCTTTACTATTTAACATTTAAATCTGTGTATGGCCATTAACTTTCAGTAGCGTTGTTCTACGAATTATAAATGAAATTGTGCAACCAATGCGACGGTTAAAAATTGAAAGAAGTGAATATGTCGCTTTGAAAGCAATTATATTTTTTAATTCTGGTAATTTTAAAACTTGAATCTTTAGGCTGCCTCTTACTTTAGTCATACTTAAGTTTTACGGCAATTAAATATTTGTTGACAGCAGTTAAACAGAAATTTATTTTTATTATTAGATGCTTGTTACAAATGGATATTACTGTAACGGTTTAAAGAAGTTGAATCTCAAAGGTTTTTAGTAGCTCCGGACATTGCTGCTGCTGAAGCTATTGCTGAAGCACGAAGAAGTTTTTTGAAAACTTTGCAAATTCAGTGCCGCCATGATGATTGTCGAGCCGGGATGTTACTTTTACTTTTACCTCCAATTTATGTAATTGCTCAACAACTGGTCGAAAACGTTCATCTGGCCAGTATATTCTGCCTTGCCAATGTTGATAAACTAATGCAGGAGTTGATTTTGTATGATCAACCGTCAACAATAATTGATCAACTTTCAAATCCTATTACCCATGTTCGGTCAAACTCGTAGGTGGTATTATAGTTAAAGACTGGCTTTTTTTGGAGCTACTTTTCTATAGCGCATATCAAAATCATCTACATTTCTGAGAGGCGTAAAAAAAAGAACTGGATGACTTCTATTCTTTTAAGACTTTTACATCAGTAGGGTTTTTTTCGCTTTATTTCTGTATCTATTGTTTATTTAAAATAATAATATGATTGATTTTTTGTAATTTTTTGTTGTCATCAGACACAGATTTTGCCAAATGTTTCTGTAATGAATTTGTACAGTTATTTAGAAAAAAACCTAAAAAAACGTTCGTTTTAAGGGCATAAACTGCTCTGAACTTCTTGATGTTTGATTTTTGAAGGTTAATCGTCTTATGGTTAACATGCTTCAAGGTATACTGTTTTACCGATACCTATTGTTGTTTACTTTGTGTCATTTTCTCAACTTCTTTTTTTTTTTTTGATGTTTGGACTAAATATTTGAGTATATAATTTGATTAGATTACGCTAGAACTGCACATTAGATTTTTTGCTTAAGTTTTGTCAGTTTATATTTCACCGTTCTCAGTCAGCAGTGTCTGAAGTATAAGAAAATATCGTGCTGAGCAATTATTTATTACAGTTCGTTGATGGTTAGAGATGTTATGGGTTGTGTTGTAATCAACAAATAATTTGCGGTGTAACTGTTTACTGTTCAAATACGTTGCTATTTATGACGTTCCTAAGCTGGAAAAGTTTGTTGGCTTTTATTGCATTTTGAAGTAAAATCTATTTGATGTTTAGTGGTTACATTTTAATTGCAAATTACCAATTGACTACTAAAAATCTTGTTTTCTATGTAGCTTTCTTTACCCCTAATTGACTTTCAGGTCTCATTAATCTTTACTCAAAAATTTTTTTTATTGAATTAATTATTTTCTTTTTTATTTTCGGTTTTCATTTAAGCAAAAACACTTGGTGCTGGACTTTTCCGAATTTTTTTTTGTGTTTAGAGGAAAATGCGCCAAAATATATTGTTTTTTTAGACGACAACTGTTGCTTAAGCTTTTATCACTGTAACTATTTGAAAAAATATCTGTATTTTGGATAAAAAATTCTGTTTTTCTTTTGAACAGTGTTGATATTTTGTTTCAATAAATTTAAATAAAGCTATTCTTCTCGTAATCGATATGCAGGGCTTTCATTATTGCGAGAAGTTACTCTGCAGGATGTCTGTGCAGAATTTGTCATCGGGTGTCTGAAATTGGTGATTCTAATAAAGCAATATGGTGTCAATGAAAAAGAATTAAAAAACAAATTTTTATTATAGTTTTGCAACTAAAATTTCAAGTTAAAAAAAAAAAAATGTTTTTGAAATTTTGCCTGCTACTGAAATAAAGTAAATAGTTTTTGCTGCCAGAAATTGAAAAGTGTGGCATCAACTTTTGTTTACTTTCTTTTGCAATTAATTTTAGTTTAAAAAACTCGTTTAGAATAGTCAAAGCTTAAAATTACACTAACCAAAATAGTTTTCAAAATTCTGTTCAATTTAATCAAGAAGTAAGCTTGAAGTCAAGTTATTACTTCTGCTTATTTTGCTGTATCTTGTCACATATATTTTATAAACATTTAGGTCATATGTTTTTTTAACTACATATAAAAGTTTAGAAACAATATCATCAGACTCCAGTAAGTAAGCATTAGCTTTCTGATGACACTTAAAGCAGTTAAAAATCGGCTCAATTGAATTTGAAACCATAAAAGTAGATTTAACATTTGAAAATTACCCATCACTTCGCTGGTTTTTTACACACTGCACAAGAATTCAATATAGCTGAATAGCACTGATAACTCATCCAGCCTTCGTCATAGTATCGCACAAAGGTGCACTGAAAATTGTCCTGTGGATTACTACCACGCCAGTCTGTGTAATCATCGTCACTGTTATCTGTCCACGTGAAGTTGGATTCCGGAGTTACACGCTTGAAGCCAATTGCCCATTGAAGACAGCCAGGAATGCCAAGACCGACTTCTAGAACGACAAAACTGTTATTAGAAAAAAATTTAAATTTCCTAAAGGAGTTAATTTGAGAACACTATTTTGATTTTTTACCTGTATTAACTTTATTGCAGTACCGAAAAGTCATTTAAAAGCACAATCAACGTATTGCTAGGTTTACTAAGCATATTTATAAAGAAAAAACAAGATAGGCCGACAGAATTCAGCACTTTATGTGACCTATATCTGGATTCCCAAATCGTTTACACAGTAGTTAAGTCTTAATTAATTACAGTCAAAATAAAAAAACTGATGGTAAAGTTTTATAGCTGTAACTTCTTAAATATTTTCTTTTTATGACACTAAGAGCGAAAAAAAAAAGTATGTTAGACAACAGTATCATCAATAGCTTTACAAAGGTTTGTTCACGCATTGGCCTGCTTCTGCGGAAGGTTTTGACCAACTAACACTGAGAGGTAATTATGAGAAACAAAAACGAGCAACCAATTTTGCTTTTTTAAAGCTTTTTCGACTATTCAATCATTTAAGCTTTTTTCTGACCAATTTTGGTAATTCTTTTATATCAAAGCTTCTTTCTTGCGCTTGCTAACTTTGAAATATTTCTTGGAAACTTTAGAGTAATGCATCAAGTGAGTGAGTGTTTGCGAACAGCAATCAATAAGTCGGTGGAGTAGGTTTGATCTAAGTCTTTTTTGAGAAATAAAAGTTTGAGGTAGATTTGAGTCTGCATACATTTACTGGTATAATACAACTAGCAGCTAGTCAGTGTACAATGTATATCTCGTTGTACGGTCAATAAAGCCGTGTTTTAACTTCTTTAATAAATAACTTACTAGTTACAGGTAAAATGATCGTCTTTCTTTCGACTCAGTTAATTTATTACCACATTTAAACAATTTTTAATTCAAAAGCTTGAAGAAAGTCTTTTAAAAAAATTTCTTTTTGGTAATTTGATCAATAAACAAATTTAAAATTTTTTTTGAATAAAAAAAATTGAATAAACTATAGATGGCAATTACGTATAACAATGGTAGCTTCTAATTCGCTATGAATTGATGCCAGGTGTCCTCCTTCTGTTTTACAGTCTTCCTCATACCTGTTCCATCCAAAACCAGAACTTAGTGGCTTAAATAAATAGTTCCGTTTAAAGATTACGCGCAATTTGACAGTTGCAAACATCAGTAATACTCTTGAAACTAAATTGATAATCATTCAAAAATATTTGCACTTCGTTTGACCTTATGACAAATATTCTTCAAAGAAAAGTAAATGCATTCTTTGAAAAGTTTACAGTTTTTAAGTTACTGTAGATTTGTTTACATTTTTATTATTTATGAGTTTTTTTCATTGTTTTATAACTTTTTTTGTCTCTAAAACTTCTTACCGACTTTAGAGCTACCAAATCTGGTAGAAGCTATTAAAAATTGCTATTTCCACTGTAATGTTTTATTATTTTCACTATATTTGAAATAATTCTTTTTTTAAACTTGCAAACTAACTTTATAAAAGGATTTTGTTTCTTCGTAATATGTCCACTCAGTCACTGAAAATATGACTGTCAG